TGTATCTGTTTTCTTTTTATGAATTAAAACAAGTACATGAGAGGGAAGTCGCTAGAATGTTATGGAGATCATGCATACACAAAAAAATGTATGTGTTGTGTGTTTATGATAAAAAAGACTTAAAAGACTCACCTTCTCTTCAGTTGCATATATAGATCCATCAAGGCCACATTTGCTCAGCTGCTCATTGCTGACAAAGAGACGGGACCATAAACAGGTTTAGACAAACTTTGAAGCCAAGTTTTTGGCATTATCAGAAGAACCAATAGATAGACGATAAGTAGTTCTATTTCAATTATAAAGTGATTAGTTGCACCGGTAAGTAAGGAAGTCAAGACAACTCAAAATCGTTCAATGTTCACGAAAACAAAAAACAAAAATACAATACAGCTCTGTTATTTTACATAAAACCAAAAAATGTCCACAGACAAGCACGAATCAGAAGAGATACCACCCACTCAAGAGAGGGAGCAGGGACATAACCAAGAATCCAATACCATATGATGCTATGGGTGCAAGTCAATAATTCTGAAAACATGTTGAAGACAGTCGCCAGGCATAAATGCCTTTAGTATTATCAGGTTCCAAGAATTTTTATATCTCATATCTGGATTGACACCTATAAATCTCATGATTTTTGAAGGTACACAGAGTCTGCATCAGTAGAAGAGTTAATCAACGATAAAAACTACTTGGACATGCAAGAGAATTGTGCAAATCAGAGACTGTAAATATGTCATCAATTTACTTAAAAGAAAATGCGGTATTTTGTTAGTGTACCTGCATTCTCCATAATGCTCCATATTGTGAATAGTCAACACTATTCTTGGTTTCTAAAAATTTAACATTTCATCATCATAATTCAAGCAATATACTATACGTACTGTTGAAATCTTTTTGAAAAAACCCAAGGTACAATATGTTTTACCTTGAGTGAAAGATGATGGTACATATCCCAGTAAAGCAAGGGCAAAGCAGCAGTCTGCCACTCATGGACATGAATGATATCAGGCTGGGTTCCAGTGACCTGCAATAAGATCAAATTCCTTAACGAGTTTTGGCAATGTTAATTGAATTAAAAAATTTAACTAGAAATTAACAGAAACAACATAGAACTATGAACCGAAAAGAATATAATCTTAACTGACGCAAATAATTGGATTGCAACAGCTATGGCACACAACAAATGTATGTTAGTAAAACCTTTGTTCCAAAATATTTTATTGATGTTTCTAAGTGTTTGGATCAATTATTCAGCATCTTTTGACTGAGTAGTGTGTTACTTCCTATGCATTCTCCTGGAGACACAAGCATGCCTGACTAGATATATGCTAGAAATTCTACTCAGATCAGAGAAAGTCTGGCTCAATTTTATTCAAAAATAAGTGGGTCATTGTGGTTTCAACTTCAATTCTTAGAAAAAATTGGTTTATCAGGACAAACCTGCATCCATTCAAGGCAAGCACGACTAAAGAATAAATATGCTTCCAGTTCATTGTATGAACCTCCATAGACATATTGTCCCTTAAAGAAGTGGTTGGATGGTTCGACAAATATCACCGGGATGCCCGAAACTACTCCCCGATATGCATTAGTCGAGACCCAACTCCCATCATGATAAGAGTCATATGTATTCACCAATTCCAAGTTTTTGATCTGCTGCTTGTTGATACACTCGTAGAACGGTAGAAAAACATCCACTTTATGGCCACGCAACAAACATGCTCGGGCAAGTCCGGCCACAACATCACCAAGACCTCCGACCTTTGCTATGGGTGCCATTTCAGCTGTCACGTGAACAATGTGCATAAGATCAGAATCCCTCTTGATGTCAACAGGACCTCCCATGCTGATATCCCATGATGGAAATTCTCTCTTCCAGAACGGAATTTCATCTTCGGGAGAAGGCCAACTAATACTACTATATCCGGACTTAGTTGTTGAACCTTGTAACTTTTCAACATCCAACTGTAAGACTTAAAATTAGAATAAAAATTAAAACACAACTGCAAAAATCAATATAAAATAGGAATTAAACAAAATGGTAAGATAGATACCGGATTTCTTTTCACTTTCTGTAAGCAATTACCTTTTATTTCAAATATTATAATGTCAACCACTTTGAATCTTTCATCAAAGAATTTGATAAAAGAAAAGGCATGTCATCTTAAAACTCTATTAGCGTGTGACTAGGCTGAAACGTAGTTATGCACTGTTTTAGACAGCTTCCCAGTTATCGACATTTTTGTTGTTGCTTTCCACCTTCCTGCTATTCGTAAGTAGCTGCTCCCAATTTTCAGTAACAAAATTTGATATTAGACCATTCTAACATACTGAATGTAGGAGTATTCTTGCCAGTTTAACTACTTTCTTACTTGCGTAGTGCAATGACATGTGTAGGACCTTCTAAAGAATCAAACGAGCAATTTCATTTGGAGGATGGAAAATAAGTTTGGTAAATCACTACTAATTCTTCATCAGTTATTTATCTTAACAAGATATGAGGACAAATACAGATGGTTGTTTGCATAGTATTAATGCCTCTATGATCGAAAGCAGACAAAATCACGAATAAATTCTTCTTTTTCATGAAATCCAAGACAATATAACCAAATAATGAATCTTTCATAAAAGTAACAAAAACAAGAAAAACTGATACAGTTCTACTACTATTCCAACCACAATCTTAAACCAAACTTTCATAAAAGCAATAGTGCAACTCTTACTTCTACTATTATTCAAACAATGTTAAGCATGTTTGCCTAAGCTCAAAAGTTTCTTATAAACCACATAATTGTTTTGTTGGTTAAAATTGGGGATTAAGTAAATAAAGTAAGCATCTTTTTGATAATACAACATATCCAATGGAAACAAATCATTACTAAATGCTCTTAAGCCTAAGCAAACATGCTCTTGATCTTGAAAACAGTGGCCGCCAAAAATACCACTATAATAATTTGTGAATATGGGCATGTGCAGCTTCGAGTAATTCACCTGAGGAGCATTATTTTCAACAGCCTGAATCTTGAAATTCTGTGAAACGAAATCGTGATTCAGCGTCTTCACCCTTTTTTTGAGTTTGTCAAAACTGTAATAGATATTACTTCTGCTCCTTCGACTTGGCAGCAAGAACGAATTTGCGAAGCAATCACTTGTAATTGAAGTGGCTTGAGAGTATGACGTTGCAGCCATTTAACAAAAATAAAAATAAAAAATACTGTAATTCTCTTGTTATCCTACTGCCATTCCGTATAAAAGCAAAAGGGTAGAAAAAATAAATATATTTTTAGAACATGACGAGCATACAAAGGCAGATCTATGTTGCCGGTTGAATGATGATTGGGTGACCCATTGGGATTTTTTAGAAATAAACCGGTATATTCCATTTCTAGGGTTTAAAATTGCAAATAATTGGCCCCCAAAATAAAAGAGAAATGCTATTCATCCCCACTGGGGATGCATCCCCAGTTTATGTGACGTTAATGTGGCATTAAATGATAAGTGAAATTAAATAAGTCATTTAATTTCACCTATCATTTAACCAATCATTTATATCCACATAGACTGGGGATGCATCGAGGTATGATTCATTTAAAAAAAATTGATTAAAATTTAAGCTAAAGTAAGTAATTAATTTTAATCTCACTTATTATTATCATTTATAATCTACTAAAAATTTAATTATTATCTAAACTAATAGGGAACAATGAGTTTTGGTACTCATCTTTTAAGCATCGATGAATTGATATGATATGTCATCGATGTTTAGCATATGACAAGTATCGATCTTCATTAGATATGATAAAATTATTTGAAGGATATGTGTGTGTGTGTGTTGACGTTTTAACTCCATTTTTTATTAACTTAGCATAACGTCGATTGGTAAACATTGGCACTTAATGGTGTCAAGCAGGATTAAATGTTTTTTTTCCCCCTTAATGACTATTTGTGTAATGGTTAAAAATTTGATTGACTTNTTTTAATTTATTCCAGAAAAGTGTCGAATAAGTGTGTTTTTACATACTTATCAGACTTCAAGGAGTATTGACATAATTACTCAAAATTTCAATGACCATTAGATTTATCTAGTCCATGTCTGGTACACATTCTTTCAAAACTCATTTTCAATCATACATTTTTCAATAAAATAATATTTTTAATCATATCAATAATTTTTCCTTACTTTTTAACCATATATTTCTCATCAGATCACCATTTAAAATACATTATTTTCTCAATAATATACATCAAACACACCCTAATTAGCATTAAAAAATGGCTTGGATTTTGCTTCGGTTGGAGACTGCTAATTATATATGTTTAAAAGTTAAGTTTTTAAATGAAGTTACTTTAGCCCTATTTGATTTGGTTAAAAATTATTTTTTAAGCAGATTTTGATAAAATTGATAAAATATATTATTAAAAAGTTAATGGAAATGAGAGATCCCATGAAATTATGATTTATACTTAATTTCCTTAACAAAATAAAAGAGCCAGTTGGGGAGGCACTGTTGATGCCAGATGTCAAGAATTTGAATCGTCAACCAACACGACACCGTTTTGTTAACCGTCTTTTCCTACTACTTCACACCACTTCTGCCCTATTTTGTCTGCTTACCATTTTCAATCACCGTCTTCTCCTTCCCGCCAAGAAATCATAGGAAATTCGGCCGATGAATAATTAGAGAACAATATTTACAAATAATTAAGAACAATAATTAAGAATAATATTTACCAGTAACAATTCTGAATAATAATTAGAGAAATTTGGCAAGGAATTGAGTCGGTGAGCACCCAAGACTAATTTTCTTGGCGATGTTGATTTGGGCAGTTTCCGGGTCATGATTTTGACCGGATGCAAGTGACAATTCAACTTCAAACTCCTCATTCAAGAAATTAAATCCTACTATTAGATTTTAAATTAGAAACATAATTCTTATTTTCCTGTGAATCTGGAGCAGGTTGAGTTCAAATCGACTTGTGGTCAGATGAAGGTTAAGATGGCAACGAAGATTGAGACAGTGTTGCGTGTCTCTGTGCGCAACGAAGACACCGTATTTCCGTCTCGCTGGGAGACCTTTGGTTGGTGATTTCTTAATTTTCATTTAGATGCAGAAAGTTCAAAAGCTTTTATTTTGATTAATAATCTGCGATTGATTTCTCTCCATTACAATTTTAGGTTAATAGTTTTATGTATCTCAATGTTAAAAAAAAAACTCATGCGCGCATGGAGACACGGTCGATACGATATTTTCAGTGTTATCGTTTTTCCCGTCTAACAGTGCATCCGTGATGGTACCAGTGCGCCTGAAGCTAGGCACGTCGTGCCTCCGTCCGAGTGCACAGAGGCACGCTGTGTACGGGCACCAGCGTGTGTGCCTCTGTGCACGCGGACGGAGGCTCGACGTGCTTCCGTCCGCGTGCACGAAGGCACGCTGCTAAGCTGTCTCCATGCCACACATTCCTGTCGCTGTCTAAATTCATCACTATCCGTGGTGATGCAATGAATAGAGAAGGAAAATAAAAAGAAATGGGTCATCCATTTCTTGAAATTCCACCATGAAATTTCAGATAAGGTGTAAGTGTTGTTTTACAATTTTTTGGTCACGAAAATATGTTTTTTTTTTTTNGCACGCGGACGGAGGCTCGACGTGCTTCCGTCCGCGTGCACGAAGGCACGCTGCTAAGCTGTCTCCATGCCACACATTCCTGTCTCTGTCTAAATTCATCACTATCCGTGGTGATGCAATGAATAGAGAAGGAAAATAAAAAGAAATGGGTCATCCATTTCTTGAAATTCCACCATGAAATTTCAGATAAGGTGTAAGTGTTGTTTTACAATTTTTTGGTCACGAAAATATGTTTTTTTTTTTTATGGTTTTTTTTTTAATAAATGTATGCATGTGGGTTCTGTAAAGATAAATAATAAATTTGTTGTTTATATATTGACGTCAAAACCTGTAAATATGGCTTCTGAGATTGCCAAACACATCAAAATATTGTTTTGATACTTTCCTTTTGTTGTCTTGCATTTTTCCTATAAACTAAATATTGACTTAATTAATTTTGAGTTAACATCAAAATCTTAGTTGAAGTGTGTGCTTTTCTATAGAGCTTCTATAGAATTCTGTCAAATGGATAGTTATAGGCAAGCTGATGAGAACATTGTTGATGATTTTGTTTAATATTTTAGCTTTCGTTAAGGTATATCATTTGATATAATTTATTTCCTAGGACTAAAGCATGGACAAAAGTTCATTCTTATGAATGACATGAGCGATTAGTTACTTAGTTTAGTGCACGGAGGCACCAGCGTGCCTCCGTGCTGGTGCCGTGCCAACGTGCACAAAGGCACGCTACCACAGCGTGCCTCCGTCCGCGTGCACAGAGGCACAGTCTGATGAGGAAGATGAGGATGAATATGACCATTTGGTCTGTTCAATCTATGTTTACAAGTTTGCGTATTTGCATTCGGCTACCGATTATTATTATTTCTAGAATTATTTGTTATTTTTTGTCTTTGGTTTTGCCACTGGTGATACGAATTAACTGATTTGTGGGATTAGGATAATAAGATCACGGATACATCTGCTGCTGAGGCTAGGAGGGGAAAGGATATTCAAGGAATTCCATGGGAAAGACTAAGCATTTCCAGGGAGAAGTATAGGCAGACTAGACTAGAACAGTATAAAAATTATGAAAATATGCCCCAATCTGGAGAAGGCTCAGAGAAGGTAACTTTCAGTTTTACATGGTAACTGTCTGCTACCTTAAGTTTTTTTCTTCTCTTAAATGATGTATTATAACAACTACTTCTGATTCTTTTTTTCAGGAATGCAAGCCAACTAGGAAAGATGGAGTTTTTTACGAATTCTGGCAGAACACAAGATCTGTGAAATCAACTATCTTGCATTTTCAAGTAAGATGAGGTCCTTTGAAATGCTTCAATTGACTTGTTGGTTTTGAATTCACTTCTAATATTAGGTGCAAGTGGGATTTTACCTTGTCTACATACAATTTCTATAAATTTATTTCATGAATTACTTTTGGCTTTAAGTGATGATTTATTTGCACACTATTTGGTGAAATAGACTTGAATATTGGACTTCTTTTGATATCAATTTAGATTATAGTATGTTGGGATTTTTGTCTTTGAAGAGTATCATGAGCATAATGTGCCTAGGCAAGATGCCTCCATCCAAGTAAGGCAAGGTTTGCCTCCATCCAAGGCACGGCGATATCTCTGGAGGTGTTCCCGCCCCGCACACGCGATTTTTTTTTTTTTTTTACTAATAAGTTAGGTGGTATACTATATTTATCCAGTCAATGGCTAGAGAAATTGCAAGTTAGTGAGAGTTAAAGATCACCTCTTTCGTTTTGATTATTTAATTAAGCCTAGGTTTGGCATCTATTTATTTCCTAGGATTTCATCAAATAGTGGAAGTGTGGTTTTCACATTGGTTCTTGAATTTCAATGGTTGCTCGGGTATTTTGTGGTATTTTATCTCTCTTTGTGTGTGTGTGTGTGTATATATATTTTTTTACAGTTTTTCACAGTAAAATTTCTAACATATGGATTATTGTCTATTATGTATACAGCCTTTACATTTATGGTATATTCATATGAAACATTTTTTTCCTACAACATAATAATGACATACACCCAATATTGGGTCAGGCAGTAATGTTTATTGAATTTTATTCTCGTTCGTGCTTTCCAAGTGGATATTTTTCAAAGCATTCATACGTTAAAAACTCCCATACTCATATATAGGTACCATACTACCATTTCATTCATCCTTAAATTTGAAAAAAGACAACACCATCATTGATATACTTGGATTCGAACAGGTAAAGATTGAGCTTACTTTTATTCACTTCATATGGTCGTAGTCATGGTCATTTTCCAGTCTGTGATGTACGTAAGACGTAGAAGATTTGCTATTTTAGTTCAAGAAACCACATTTTCGTGCCTCCAGTTTTGCCTCAGAACAAAACTCATATTAAATTATTGTAGAAGAATAAAAGCCACAAGACTTTTCCTCCTTTTTCTTCTTCATCTTTCTAGCATTTTTGGCTTTTAGCATGTCTATGTATTTTCCCATCTTCTATATGTTTCCTACACCATCCACTTACAATAAAACTTCTTCTCTTCGTCTAAAGTAATCCGTTCATGCTTGAATGCTACCTAAACACACAGATGACTAGGTACCTATTTATAGTTAGATTTACTAATGGTTAGAATTTACTTCTTTTTGCTTCTCCTTGAATTCGATATATATAGAGTAACTACATTTTTTTCCTACCTCACTCTGCTTACTAATAATGGATGTCGAAATCTTACCTTATACTTCTTCCACATTTGTCGCCAAAAACTAGGATGACTTTCTTCTCAATTCAATGTTATATGTTCCTTTCCTTTTGAACGCCTAATTTTTATGGTTAAATATGTAAATGGCTTGGTCATCGAAGACTTTTGCAAATTTTTGCTTACTGTATAGTTTCTGCCTGGAGCTTGTGTTTTGAACTACTTTCAATCTAAAGATTTTGTACTATTGTCCACGAAATGTTTGATAAGAAATGAAAATGTGCTTATGGAAAAACCGTGGAAATTGGTTTTAATTTGGGATTTCAGCTTAATGTCTTATTTATCTAATTTCTTAAAGCCATATTTCTCTGTTTAATGGTAATATATAATTCTCCTTTTTGACATTATTGTACATATTTAAAGATTATGTAGTAGGATTTACAAAATGTTTGATAATAAAATATCAATTTATTTTGAAAAACTGTCAGGGAAAAGGTAAAACGAGATTTTTATCTTGTAGTAGTACATCATTGTACATATATGTTTTTATCTTTGATATCTATGCTTGTTGGTGGTTAACAGTAATTTTCTCGTTTTGTGACTTGAAGTTTCATTTTTTATCTTGCCGACATGCTTATGCCAATGCTTTTGTTTGTTGCTAAAGCAGTTGAATGTAATTAGAAAGAAGGTTGCTGCAATGTCTAGCAGAGAAGCTAAGGAGGTCCGGGTTTTGTATCCCCATATAGGATTTGTCCGTTGGGAGCTCATATTGATCATCAGGTGAATTTCACTATATTCTTAGTATATCATATTTTGTTCTCTATCAAATTCAGAGAGACGACAAGGTGAGACTAAAAATCTCATTTGCTTATCTGTGCCTCTACGCGTATGTATTTAATCGCGTTATCCTTGTTTTCCTCATTTTTTCATTTCCTTCATGTTTCCTAAGTTGGGTGGGAAGAGATAATATTTTTTTATTTATAAGTACTATAAAGTTGTTAGATTTTGATGAATAGAGAAATGATGATTTTGCTTTTTGACTATTTTGATGAACATGTGGTTCTTTGTACTAGGATAATTTACATCATTTGGGAGCCTAAGCAATCTGAAATAATTACAGTAGAAAGATTAGTGACTAAAAGGTTTCCTGGATGAAGTCATAATTTTGAAGAGCATTTCTCCAAGAAAGTTTTCTTCATTGCATAGAATGAAACAATTTTTTAGGGTGATTTTTCATTACGTGTTGGTATGCTTCCTATCTTCTTTTCTTGCTAATCTCCTATTTTATTAGATCCATTTTCCATCCTTTTTACTTTTAAAATGAACTCTGTTTCACTTTAAAGAAGGTGTGATAAAGGGCAATTATCTGTTGCAATAGCCTTCGAATGTTCAATAGGTTGGTGTAACTTGTTACTGCATGAGGGGTGTTCTTGCTATTGCAAGTTCTGTGTTGGTCCCAGGAGTTGATGCTGTGATATCCTTCTATGGTGTGCCTTCACAAGAACTTGCAGATCCTCTCCATGCTAAGGCACCAGTGCAAACACATTTTGGTGAGCTTGACAATTTTGTTGGATTTTCTGATGTAAAGGTATGGTCTGGAGATTCCTGTGATACTTGTATCCTTTTACTTAAAACTCCACTTTTCTAAGTATGTTTATTCATTCTTTTTGGACTGTGTTGTTTCTTCAATGACAAAAAAGCATATTGTAGCTAAAACATAAACTGAGTGAGTATTGTAGCTAAAACTTCTGATATTTCCTAGCTCCACCATTGAAATTGATTAATTTACCTAGGGTAGAGGGGAAATCTCGATGATTCATTAGTGAGTAGCTTCTAATCATATTCTCTTATATTTCAACCATAATAATTCACTGCTTTTCTATGATAGTTCTTATTATGAAATTGGGCACTTAACTTTTGTATCCATCATAAGTAAGATTGGAAAGCTGGGATTCGTCCAGGATTCGGGTACATCATCTCAAACAATTGTTACTTTGAAAGGAAAAAAATTGAAATAATAATATGAGTTCCTGAGATGAAAAATTTAACAAACTTCTATTTCCTTGTGTACTAGAATACTGGCTCCAACTACATTTATGTACAAAAATCATAAAGTCTGCCTTGTTATTAGCTGCAAAAGTGGTTATGACCACACAAAACATTATTTCTGTTTATAAAGGATTACAAGTTTTGTACTGATACATTGCTTTGTATTACAGATGATGGCTTAAGCACAGTAGAAAATTTGGCATCAACTACCATTTGTGTAAAATAACTAAAAATCACTTCACTCTATAAATTTTAGCTAACAGTGAATAAGGTAAGCTTATAAACATTTTCCCCCCTCAAAATTGATTGCAAAAACTTACTGTATGTGGGTCCTGTTATTTCTTTAGCTTCCGACAGTCCTTAAACCGATGTCC